AATGAGGACCTGGTCTAGGACAGAACGATGTCGAAGACTCCAATAGCAGACCACAACATAATAGAAGTTTAAACTTGAGTGCACAGTCGCCTGGGACAGGGAAACACAATCAATCAAGAGGATGCATTCCAAATTAAATTTCAACAAAAAAATATAAACTGGAACCAAAAAAAAAAAAAAAAAGCCTGACGTAAATAAGATACGCTGGAAATGCGATATGACCCTGAATTTTATTGGAAGTATTTTGTGCGATCTGCTAAGTCTCTTGTAATCATACAGAGGGATTTCGGTGTTAGATTTGGGACTAGCCCCTCCAGGATTTTCCAATTGTAAATTTTGATTTACCCTTCACCTACGTTCTAAGGAATACAGATGAAGAAACTTCAATTATTTCCAGTAGTTCATATGCTTGATTTAATGTATACAGGCAGTGACAGTTCTCTTCATATTTTCCTGCTCAGCAACGTCACCTGCCTTGAAGCAGCCGTAGTATACAACAGTATTCCAACTTGGAGAAAAGGGACTTAAAGAGTATTATCACTGGCTCAGCATCTTGTCTTTAAAGTTCTAGTTATCTAGACTAGCATTTTCTTTGCACTAGGATCAATACCATTGTTGTGATCACTGTTCCCAAGTTTCACACATGGAACTGTCGTTCTATTGCATGTGTATACTCACCTAATTATGGCTGCAGGGGTCGAGACTCAGCTCCTGGCCCCACCTCTTCACTGAGTGCTACCAGGTCCTCTCTCTCCCTGCTCCATGAGCTTTATCATACCTCATCATTAAGCTATGTATGGTTCCTGCCTCCACTACCTCACTTGCTAGGCTATTCCACTTCCTGGCTACTCTATGACTGAAGAAATACTTCCTAACATCCCTTTGACTCATCTGGGTCTTCAACTTCCAATTGTGACCCCTTGTTTCTGTGTCCCCTCTCTGGAACATCCTATCTCTGTCCACCTTGTCTATTCCATGCAGTATTTTGTATGTCGTTATCATGTTCCCCTAACCCTCCTGTCCTCCAGTGTCATCAGGCCAATTTCTCTTAACCTTTCTTCGTAGAACATTCCCCTTAGCTCTGGAACTAACCTTGTTGCAAATCTTTGCACTTTCTCTAATTTCTTGACGTGCTTGATCAAGTGTGTGTGTGTGTGTGTGTGTGTGTGTGTTAAACATGTAATAACTTCATTACCACTAACTCGTTCAGCTATCAAAACTTTGCGGTCCAGTCCCTGGACCCTTTATGTACCTCTGTAATCTTTTTAATACCACTCAGAGGATAGGTATGGGGTGCATAATAAAGATGCTAAACTAACTTTCAGCTCCCCATTTCCCCCACCCACCACTGAGCCCAACAAGACGAAGCTTAACCACTGACTACAACAACTAAAGTGTTAATAATACTAATAATAATTTGAAAACATTAGAACTATATACAAAAGATGAGGTAATCAGTCCCTCAGCCTTGGAGTTGGTGTGAAGAGCACCATAGTCGTGAAGAATCTGGAGCACATGCAAGAAGGCTGGCGCTTATATACTGGTATCAGATGAAAAGGGGACGAATGGCAGACGGAGGCATTGTCACTGGTAGGTGGGATTCCCCAGTGGAAGTAGGTCATACCCAAGGCTGAGGGATTGATTACCTTATCTTTCGTACATAGTTCTACTGTCTTCAAATTATGTCTTAGAATTTGCATTTATAAAGCAACTGGTTGGCAAAACATGTACATGAAAGATACCCAGATGTTGCACATGTGTCTAATTTTCATCAACAATAATGCAATCAGAACTAAGCACTAAACCCCCAAGAATGATACAACACTGATCCAAGGTTGATAAGTGTTATACATGAATAAAACCAATGAGCTAAGCAGCAGACACTGGGCCAAAGTAGTGTCCTCTCATGGTTGCTCACCTGGCCTTACTGAAACACATCCTACCCGCAGAGAAAAGCAATTATAGACCAGCCAATTGATTCAGTGAGGCCAGTACTAAACCTCCCATCTGACCTCTAACCTACCATAGACTACAGCCTGCAGGTTGACTCAACTTCCAGGAAAGAGGACATTATTCAGTTAAGCCATTACATGTCATAGCTCCTCTGAGGGAGCCAAAGTCAACCCAGTAATGCCAATACAGCAAAGATCGTAATCCACCGCCGTGAAATGGACCTCCTATAGAGAATCAAAGCTATAAAATCAAATACACATACTAACTCATGAAATTAGGGCTGAGAATAGTTTAAAATACAAATTCCAAATTTGTTCCAAATCAAAACTTACAAATCGGTCAAAAATGCAAAGTTTATAAAAAATGGAGATGTCCCACAATGTAGTCCTCAATACAGAATCCTAAACTCACTCTATGTCATAAATTACCAACAATTCCTGGGGAAAACAGATAGAGCAAATTACTGAGGAATAGGAGTAAAGGCAATCAAGCCTGATCTGAGGGAGGACACTCCAATTACTTGGATGAAAAGCCTTTCACTACATGATAAGGAAGAATGCAGCTATGCTTGAAAGAGAATAGATGGTTTTTGCATATTAGGGATGGGTAGGATCAAGTGAGGTGTCGTACTGGGATTGAGGATGGAGCTTGAGGGTGAGAGAAGGGCTTGTTTGTGTTGCCGTCGACACCCCCCTTCCCTTCCCGCTGAGTTACCTCTTGAAGTAGACTGACTCCTCTCATTTTTCTTTGTTGATTCTATTTTTCTTGCTTTTTTTTTTGCTCTTCCTTCCTTTTCCTTTATGTTTTTGATGCACACTGTATCAAAGTTATATTTTTTTTAATACTAGGTCTCGGTGTTTGCTTTTGAACAAAATTTACAATGGTCTTGTCTTCACTTTGCATATGAACTAGTGAGGAAAGCAGCAGATGGAGGTGTGAGTAAGGGAATCTGGGTGGCTCAGGGAGGAGGAACCTATAAGGGAGAGAGAGGCAGGAGTGTTTGAAGGAAAAGATACTCTGAAGGATTAAGATTATTATTATAATTAAAAAGAAGAGCTAAGCCACAAGGGCTATACAGCTGAAGGATTAAGAGAAGGCACAAACTACAGGTGTGATTAAGGAAGAATTTATGTGAAGGGGAAATATGCGAGCTAAGGAGGAAGGGGGTGGGGATTGAAGGAATGTGGTTGTTGTAGGGGTGTGGGAATTATTTTGTTCACAACAAAACACAAGTGGGCATAATGAAGAGGGGGTGGCTGTGCCTTTCAATACACACACTAGTGCAGTTTTCCTTCTAAGGTGGGTATGTTTTCCTAACAAAATTTTAACATCACTATATATTAATTTTTTTTTTTAACCTCGGGGTCACCCAACTGTGGTAGGGTGACCTGAAAAAGAAACATTATCACTGTCTTGCCAGAGGCATGCAGATACTACATTTCAGATGCCCCTCCAAATAGCAAATATCTCAAATCCCTTCTTTAGAGTGCAGGCATTGTACTTCCCACCTTCAGGACTTAAGTCTGGCTAACCAGTTTCCCTGAATCCCTTCACACTCCAACAGCTCATCAGGTCCCACAAACCATTTGCCTCCACTCCCATCTAACACACTCAAACATGCCTGCTGTATGTCCAAGCCCCTTGCACAAAATCCTCCTCTACTTCCCCCCTCCCTCCATCCTCTCCTAGGATGACTCTTATCCTACCTTCCCTCCTCTTCAAATTTATACACCCTCCTAATCATCCTATTTTGCTTCATCCTCTCCAAATCACCAAACCACCTCAACAACCACTCCTCAGCCCTCTGAATAATACTTTTAGTAATTCACCTCCTAATCTCTAAACTATCAATTCCTTGCACAATATTCACACCACACATTGCCCTCAGGCACATCTCCACTGCCTCCAATCTCCTCCTCGCTGCAACATTCTCAGCCCATGCTTCACACCCATTTAAGTGTGTTGGAACCACTATACTCTCACATACCCTTCTTTATCTCCAAAGATAATGATCTTCCACAGATGCCTCAATGCACTACCCACCTTTTACCTTTCATCAGTTCTATGGTTTACCTCATCTTTCACTTATCTGCCGACAAATCCACTCCCAATTATTATTATTATAATCAAGGGGGAAGCGCTAAACCCGTAGGATTATACAGCGCCTGTGGGGATGTGGAAGGTATTCAGGCTTAATTCAGGAAACTGGAGCACAGATCCAATTCCCTGAATCAAGAGCCCCTCACCAGCATCAAGGAGCCTTCCTTGAAGGGATCCACTCCCAAATATCTGAAACATTCACTTCTTCCATACTCCCTCCAACCGATCTGATATCCAATCTCTCATTAACTTGTTTGTTACCCTCATCACCTTGCTCTTATGCTCATTTTCACATCCTCCCAAATTCATCTACTGACCTTTAAAACTTCAGAATCTCCCAAAAGCACAGTGTCATCAGCAAAAAGCAACTGTTTCCAAGCATACATACAGAGCTGCTAAGTACAGATGAGAATCCCTTTTCTTATAATGCACAATTATTTATACAATTCTTGAATAAAACACTATAATTATTATATTCACAAGAAAGTTTCAAACACAAATTGCATAAAACAAAGTAAAAATAAGCTGGTTTTCCAAAGTCTAGTTACTTTCCTTTCACACTCACTTATTTAATGGTTTTTCTTCCTCTCATCTTCACTTTTTAAGTGGTTTACCCTTCTCAAAGTTATTTGTTTCCCCTTGCACCCTCACTTGTTCAGTGGTAATATCCTGTACTTAAAAGTTGAACAAGGGCCTCCCTCAACACAGTACAGAAGACTTCCTGCTTACATTGTAAACTACTTAAACCAAGTGGAGAACAATGCTAAGCCACTTATGCAATACAGATGGAATACAAGGCAAGTAGAGCCTCAAACTGGTCCTTATATACATAACACATTGCTGATTGTCATCTGCATTTAACCATTGTGCAATGATTAAGAACTTTCAAACAGACATCAGCAAATCAATAGGAATTTCCTGAAGTAGGTTTATTAAAAACCCATCAATATCAATTATAAAATACTTTATATCACTTTATCACACCATCTTAAGAATACTTGTTAAAAGCAGTAAAAATACAGATCTACTACAAATTAGTACAGCTCTGTATTTGCCTCCAGTGATAAAAACACAACTCTTACATAATAAAGCTAGTATTCTTAGAGTACTTCATTATTTGCCCAGTTTCTCATCACTCTGCACTCAATATACTTTCACTCAGCACTTGATAGTTTATCACAACTCATTATTCCTTCAGTGAACACCTGGATACAAAAAAGTAGTAAAAACAGTAATGAAGAAAAGACAGGTGCAGAAAAAGCTTTTACTATTAAATTTTTTACTGTTTTCAGCTTCATCATGTCACAGACTTCATAAAGCTCTACAAGGAATGGAACATATCGCTATGAAAGTTCACTCCCCTCCTATGTATTTAATATACAGCACTGTTAAAAACATGTCATTTATTAAGATGCTTTTCAATTATCACAGTTGAAGCACTGGGTTTATAAAGAACTTTTTTCTTGTCAGCATTAATACCAGATAAGATAACATTACGAGCAAAATTTGAGGCTACTTGATTTCCCTTTGGAGGTTCATTAATCTCAGGTTTCTTTTTAGCACTGTCTTTAGCATGACCAAAAGAAGAATTTTGAATGGGTGTACAATATGGGCATTTATAAGGAGCAAAGCTGTGGGCTGATCTAATATATCCTGACCTGCAATGGCATGACTTGATGTTGTGGCTATCTTGAGAGGAAGAGTGTCCTTGTGTTGTGTGCTGTGGATCATAACTAGAAGAGAATGTAGGCTCAGGTCTAACCAGTCTTTCATCGTGCAGTTGTTGCAGAAAGGCTCGAGTTTCCTGCCGCAGGGAATAAGGGATAAAATCCGAGATAACTGGTTTTTTCTTTGGTACTGCTCCATGATCTGTCCGTTGGTCTCTCTGACTTCTTTCATTTCCAACTGATGAAAGACCTGGCCTATAGTGAAAAGATCTCTGATGACCTGACATGACTCTCTGGTGGGTATTTGGGTCAGGATGTGAAGATAAGAACTCACGATCATCACCTCTACCAAATGCTGAATAGGGCCTACTATGGTCAGTCTGTTTTAATGTTGCACGAGAATGATGCATCTGAATAAAATCTCCATCCATATCTTTGTCTTCACTTCTTGTTCTTTCTTCACCTTTTCTACTCTCTCTCACATCTTGAGACCTTCCAGCATTTTCTTTGTTAGCTGAGTTGAATACAGTTTCACCCTTCTCCTCAAGGCCTGTGTGTATGGAGGAGGAGCTAGATGACAACTGTGAGGACAAGCAACCTTCATCTATATTATCTTCAAGCCCAAGACGGCGGGTAGCTGCATCCTGGGAGCATTCAAATGTTATATTTTAGTTTTTCTCCAACATACTGAGTAATGGACATGGATGAAATTAAGTACAAGATGCATATGTTTAATAAGTTCATAGTAAAAGCAGCAGCACAAACTAAATGTATCTGTAATTACTACACACAGCAAGCAGAAAATTAAGTAATAACTGCATTAACATAATAAAGCTAAATATCAGCATGCCAAAATATTGGATAAATTACAGTAGACCCCTGCCGTTTGGCAGCCATGACTTTCGTGAAATCCGACTTTCGACAAGTTTTTTCGCCAAAATTTAGTTTCACAGTCCATGATTGGCCTCGTGATTCGGCAACCGTCCAGTACGTGTCCACTGTCAGCACGCACACAAAGCCAGTCTCCTGCACCATTCACACTCGGTGTGCCATTTTTTACCCGAGAGTGGCCATCCCCCCGAGGGTTCATACGATACATTTCATAATAATCCATTGCTTTTTGTGCTTGCAACTGCTAAATAAGCAACCATGGGCCCAAACAAAGTTCCTAGTGCCAGCCCTTTGGTAAAGAAGGAAAGAACACAATAGAATTCAAGAAAAAACTCATAGCAAAGTACCAAAGTGGAGGAGGAAGAGTGAGGGGTGAATGTGCCTTCTGCAGTGATTCAGTGATTCTATGATATGTACAATACTAAAGCAGCAGGTATCGATAAAGGCTATAGTGCCAGCCAGCAATAAAGTGTAGAATTAACAGTGTAGCAAGTAAGTAAAGTGAGTAAGCGATAGAAAAATGACACGAAGGTAACTCTCCAATGTTGTTGGAGGTGTAAAGGGCCAATGAACATATGCTACCCTGCTATCTTCCACCATCCTAAACCTCTGCCAGCATCTCCTCCATCAAACTAACTAATTAAACTAACATCTCCTCCAAGTGTAAATATTTCTTATTTATAAATTAAAATGTCAATATTTCTTTTTTATAAATTATGTATATTGTTTAAGTGTGAATAGTGGTGGTGGCTTCTGCTGCTGCCTCCACCACCACTAAAAAAATATGTACAGCTTCTCTCAGTGGCCCTTATAAACCCTTATAAACAACAACACTTCCACCATTTACTCCTTACATACATTATGACATATTTTATTCATTCTAGAGAATATATCATGTTTTCATGTTATTAATATCATTTATTATGTCATATTAGAAGAATTGTGATAGATAAATAAGCAGTAGAGATGATATTAGTGTCATATTGAAGCATAAAAAACTCGCCTTCCTCTCACCTCCTACCTGTCTTCCATACACCAACAAGAGTCAATAAAGGTAAGTGTGATGTTAAATGTTCATTTACCCATTTTATTAGTGCTTTATATTTATTTGTCATTGTTTTCTGTATGTAAATCTATATTTAACCCTTAAACTGTCCAAGCTGATCTACCTCCACACGCCTATGCTCCAAAGTAGTCTCTTTTTTTTCATATTTTAAAATAAAACAAAAAAAAAAAAAAGAGATCAAAGTTTTTTACACTTTTTCAAAGTAAAAAAAAAAAAAAATTACTTTTTTACATATTTTTAAAATGTTGAAAAAATGAGATTACTTTGGCATTTTTAAGGGAATGTTAAAAAAATTATTTTTTTTAATCTTTGGGTTCTAAAACGGATTAATTGGATTTCCTTATTTCTTATGAGGAAAATGGTTTCCCAATCATAAAATTTCACCATTGGGCAGACTCTTGGAAGGGTTTAATCACAAAAACTCGGGCCCACTGTTAAGCAAACTCCTCTGTGAGCTTGTAAAGTTTTAAATTTCAAATCATTTAAGACTGAAATTTATAATGATACACAAATTTACCAGCTAAAGAACTCTTGAGGATTTAACCCTTTGACTTCGGCCACCATCCTGAAGTTTCCTGGTGTCGCAAATCTTCGAAAAAAAAAAATTTTTTTTTAAATTGAAATGATAGAGAATCTTTTTCCCGATTGTAAAGACACCAAAAAAACGAAATTTGATGGAAAACTGACGGATTCGTACCTAAAGAAGTTAGCTCTTCGTCGTTTTAAAAACCCAATCACACTTCGACCATTTTCGCTAATTCCATTATACATTTACAAAACTCAGAAACTATTTTTTCATGTAAATCTATTTTTTATTATGTTTACAAAGAAAATGCATTACGATTCAATACCATAACATGGTATAAATTTGCAATTGAAGAAAATTTCACGAATCTCAAAAAATACGACAATTTCCAACACTAACCAGAATAACAATGCGAATTCTGGCTCTAAATAAATTTTCTTTTATCACCATGTCTCCAGTCCCTGTGATATTCTCTTGCTTTTTATTTGAAATTTATTCAAACCAAATAAATTCAACTGTTATCCAGATGCTACTGTCAATACTGTACGTTTTTTTAAAAATTTAAACATCAACCCAACATGACTGTAATTAAATGCTATTTGGACATTTTTGACAATGCATCTTTTTAAATTTAAACATAGGCAAAAATCTAATCATTCTTACTTTTGTGAACAATTTAGTTCGTTTGGAAGTTTAAGTCAAAATATTTTAAAAAATATAGTTTTCATTTATATGAGTCTGAAACGATAATGACCACAATTTCTATAGGAAAATAGCCCACAAAGTCGCATTTTAATTGAAAACGGAACGGAGTTATTTTCTCGTTAGCACTGCTGTCCAAGATATTTTTTGTGACTGACAAGATTAATTTCAAATCATTAGTGAAATTTATAGCTGTACTCCTCCCTGAAGAACTCTCTAGAATTTATGAATATATAGTTCATCAGGTATAAAGATTTAAGCCGTCGACAGTTAAAGGGAAATTAATTGTGTTTCACAGTTTTTAAGATGAGCCTATTCAAAAATTGATTGATGCAACAAGAAAGGTTCTCAAGTAAATCAAACTTTACAGGCAGACTTAAAAAATTTGATATTAAATTCTAAGATCTTTGTAAAAATTATAATAATGGTACTAATTCTTAGAGTTGTGATCCTCTTAATATATGTGAATTTGGTATAAAGATTCAAGCAATAGGTACTTACTTCATTACGGGAAATGCTTAAAAAGAAGCCCTAAAAAATAAGGCAATCCTAAAAGCAGTGGACTTTATCCAATGTTTTTTTTTTTTTTAATCAACTGATGCAGTGAATTTTGTCTAGTATCTATACAGGTTGTTAAATAGAAGTTTATTATATGAATCAGCATCACAAGTTCTAGAAAAAAAAGTTGAGTTTACAGGCAAGACCTTAAAGCATGAACATTCCAGACTCTTAACACACACTGGCAACCTGGTATACAGTCTAGGAGCTACCTAAGAAAAAAAAAGAGTTCTTACTAAAAATGATTTCCCTCCCAAAGTATAACGCTCATACTAAGAGGGTCGCAGCAATTCATAGGCATATTCCGATTCCTGATAAAAAAGGTTCAAGCACATCAGCAAGATACATGACTTCTTGAAACTTAATACCTTTAAATTTTAATAAACAGTTTCAGTTTAATTCTGGTCTTGAGAAGGAGTTAATGCAGCTAATATAAGTAGGGGACAGGTAGGAACTCCAGGTGGGAATGAAAATACCCATGTAACTGCACAATTCAGAACAGATTAGAGTTTTTTTATGTAAATTAGGCAGGCCAACCAACAAATAATTGCAAAAATCAATTCCAGAATATGCTGACATTCACTCAAGAAATGTGGGACCATCAGGATATACTGACATTCAGTGAAGAAATGTAGGACCAACAGGAAATGCTGACATTCACTCAAGAATTGTGGGACTGTCAGGATACCCTGACACTCAATAAAGAAATTTGGAACCATCAGGATATACAGCCTCTCCTCACTTAACGACAGAGTTCTGTTCCTAAGACCAGGTTGGTAAACGAATTCGTCGCTAAGTGAGGAGCATACTATAATGGTAGTGCGTTTGTGTCAACCATCTGTGATATTGTTTTAATGTCACCTTTGCACCATTTATAACATTTATGGTATATGTATTTTTAAATCTTTACACAGCAGTGTACTGTATATTGTAATTAACAGAATACAGGAAATCAGCTCTATTATTAAGGTATGTATACTGGTCAGAGAGTCCGTCGTAAGTCCAAGTCGTCAGTAAACAAGCACGTCACTAAGTGAGGCTCTCCTCAATTAGTGACAGTCACTCAAGAAATGTAGGACTGTCAGGATATTCTAACAGTCCTCACAGATATTAAATTCTTCAAATGAGAATACATTAATGAGACACACATTCACCATACTTGTAATACAATGTGTATACCAATGAATTAACTGCATTTTTTTTTTCAACATACCGGCCATATCCCAAGGCAGGGTGACCTAAAAAGAAAAATGAAAATTTCTCTTTTTAAATTTAGTAATGTATACAGGAGAAGGGGTTACTAGCTCCTTGCTCCTGCATTTTAGTCGCCTCTTATGACATGTATGGCTTACGGAGGAAGAATTCTGTTCCACTTCACCCATGGAGATAAGAGGAAATAAACAAGAACTAGTAAAAAAACAGAAGAAAACCCAGAAGGGTGTGTGTATTTACATGCTTGTACATGCATGCCGTGGTGTGACCTAAGTGTAAGTAGAAGTAGCAAGACGTACCTGAAATCTTGCATGTTTATCAGACAGAAAAAAGACACCAGAAATCCTACTATCATGTAAAACAATTACAGATTTTCGTTTGACACTCATTTGGTAGGACGGTAGCACCTCCCTGGGTGGCTGTTGTCTACCAACCTATTACCAAGATAAATGCAATTATAAAGAGAAAAATATTGCTGTAACCTAGGGAATGCTTGCTTGTGTTAATAATATATGCTATGTTGTTGACAATCATCAACATAGCTTATCTGCAGCTGATTGACAATTGAAAAGCTTGTGCAGTTAAACATGATATGATATACAACAGTGAGGATGGAGTGTGCAGGTAAGCACAATAACATACATACAGGATGGAGAGTGCAGTTAAACAAATCAGATACAACAGTCAGG